TGTTGCGAGAGCGATTAAAGCTAAAATAAATGCCAGTGCAAACGGTAATTTTTGTTCGCTATTCAGAACTGGGCATCCCACAACTATTTTTATGTCATGGTGAAAATGTCATAGAAGCTGCTTGTCTTCGAAAACAGAAATATTGTATCTTATGCGACCATTGTTTATTAAAATCATTAGTACATTGCATTTACACCGAGCCAGAACAGCTGTTAATCAACTGGGCCCCGTGTGCACGAGTTACGCTTCACTTCTACCACGGACTAATCAGAACTCGATCGGCACCTCTCCACAAACGAGTTACGCGGTTTGAAATATCGGAGCTTTCGGAGAAGTATTACCAGCAGAGGTTCATTTGGCTTTTTGTCAAAAATCAAATTCGGACAGAAGCTCGATGCCAACTGGGGCCACATCAACAAGACCCATAGGACATAAAATCACTTTTTACAGCGTTCTTCCGTAGACGCCGCCGTCTCAGTGAGGCAGAGTCCGGTCAGCCGACGTGCATGGGTTTGTCGAGCGACAGACAGACAGACAAACAAATGACGTGGTTCCCGTTACGGTTCATGCCGGCCAGTCAAACGGTGAGCCACAACGGCCATGGCGGCGCTGACCACGTAGGTGGCGCTAGGGTTAGTTCGGGTCAGCTTCAGTGAAGTCATTGCGAAAAGCCGCACCACAGCAAGCCAGAGCAGAAAAAAACGAGCGAAAAGAAGAGGCAGACGCTAGAACCGATGCAACAAATAGTGTTCCCGGCAGAAGCAGCAGCAACAGATCTGCCCATCGTAGTTGCCGACGGCATAACATCAGCACACTTTGACCACGATTGTTGCGTGCGCTCAAAAGTCAACGACGACATCGACGTCGGGGGATAGGAAAGCCACGGGGGTAAATATCAGTGGTGTCCATAACATGACCGAGTCATTGGTTGGGCGGCCAGCCCTTCATTGACAACGACGACGTTGGCGCTGTTGTGATTGCCACTATCGTCGCGACGCCCAGTCAAAACAACTACTCCTTTGCGGTCAGGCAAAAAAAGTGCAAACATACAAACTCCACACCGAGCATAGTAGACGAGCAACATCCATGATGAGATCCATCGCTACTATGGTAGTGTGAATCGACCCGGAGCAGCAGCGCTCGCTGCCCAGGCGTTGCAACGGCGAGCGTGGCGATACGATGAAGCTGCCCAAGCGTCTGCTACCCAATCTACTGCCCAGATCTAACTAAATCTAAGCCCGCCGAACCGTTGCATTGGTCTATATGTTCGCTCGCACCGATCGCCGCTTGCGGTCAGCCGCACCAACGCCTCCACCCGCCGCCGTTCTGGTCGCGTCTCGTCACGGCGATGCTGTTTAGCATCGACTCCGGCTCAGCCTGCAACACATCTCATTAAAATGGATTCACAAATACGGTGGTCGAATGGACCAAACCATCATGCCCTTAGAACCTCTTCTATCGCCGCAGACGGCACAAATATTAAAAACATACTACTGCTGCTGGTGCTAGTGGTGGCGCCACTGCAATTGTTCGACACACACATATATATATACACATAGACACATCTTCAAAAAAACATTGGCGCTGCACGCATCCGTGATCTTGAGAGTTCCTCAGCCGCATCTGCTGTTGATGCTGTGTTGGCAACGATTATTATTGCAGTACATTGTACATGCTGTTTTACATGTCGCCGCTTCTGTCATCCGCTACGATCCCTTTATCGTTACGCGAACATCGCTGTCAGGAAGGGGGGTCAAGAGAGGAACCATTGTCAAATGGTCACATACAGAAATACTGCTTTATGAGGGCTTTGTAGGAGGTAGGTCAACGTGGAGATGCGAGGACATAGTTTGAAGCTATAACAGATTAATGTAGGCCCAATATGAAACAACATATTAATACTGTTAAGGTAGCAAGTACAAGTTGTTGTAATATTCGTTGGAACTGAGCTCTGAATAAAATTCCAGCTGTCGAATAGCCTCATATTCAGTTATAATCGAGTCAACGGTTTACCTGTCGGTGGGCATGAATGAAACAAGGATGTATGGCCATGTACGTTCAAAACACATACATTGTATAGTGCTAATTATCCTCAAATGTTTATTGTAAGACGTGGTTTAAATGAGGCTTTTGCTGCTTATAAGCGACTACCTCACTAGGAAAGTAGATTGATTAATGGCCCAAGCTGCTCAGCCATATCTATTTGCCGACGCCGCTAAGATAAATCCGCTGTCGAGTCGAGTCCCTACTGTGGTACCAATCTAGTTTCGTAGATTCGTATAGTGCTAGGCCCTATTGCACTGTGCCGTCTCGCAATAACTCGGTAAATCAATAGATCTGTTCACCCTAAAATTCCTGCTTGCCTTGTGCCCTTCCTGTCCATTGTACATTCCCGCACCGGTAGCGCTTTCGACACTTCAGAGATACGTTCAGTCATGAATCTGCCATTTGCAACGTTGTCTTCATTCTTGCTGGTTCATACTCCCACAGGCAACAACTGTGACAAAGTTCGGCTACAGCCGCCATCGCAGGTGTGTGCCCCCGCCCACAATTCCTATATATATATATATATATATATATATACTGTACATTTCCTTGTAGTGTACATTCTCTTCTTTTGTCACTAGCATTTATTATTCCTAGCCGGATACCGTGAAGCATGAGCTGTTGTGTGTGCGCTTTAGACCGACAGACTGAAAACAGGCGCGAACAATTGAATGAACAATGAACGGACACCGATGTAAGAAGCACGCTTTACGTAAACGCTTTTAACAGCGACAGAAAGCGATGGGCACCAGAGCTAGTAGCAAAAAGAAGTCAATAGAGAAAGCTCCTAGCAGCCATAGGAGCGACGGTAAAGATAGAGGGGGCACTGGCAGTAAGGAAGGCAGAAACTGATTTGGAAGATACCAGCGGCCGAGTTGAGTTGCTGGGATGACTTGCAGTGTTGTCAAAAGCAGTCGTACTATAGTGGTAAAAAGGAATCGGTGAATGGGGTACCTGAGCGGTTACCACTGGCTTCGGCCTATCTGGCCGGAACCTGGCTACACAGCACGCGGCTCAAGGCGACGCTGATGCTGCCGTTGTTTGCGCTCAAGCGTCTGCAGACGTTTGAGGCGGCAGTGGTGGGCGGCGGAGGCAATGTAGACAACGGCAGAAAAACATCGCGTGCGTCGAAGTCAACTTTTCGCGCATGAGTGCATCTCGCTGACGGTCTCGCAATCAGAGGAACACGCTGCTGGTTGTGCGTTCCCGCTCAGAACGAATGACGGGCAGAGTAACGACCAAACGTTAAGCCGGCGAACGCCATGTTACTGCGATAGCCACCGCCGCGTCAAACAGTGCTAATGATGCTGTTACATTACCGCGACTACTGCGATCGCTGCCGGTACTGATGCTGCGCTACAACAACGGCAGGCGCCGTAGCCAGCATTACAACCGCTTGGATGGCTGTCCGCCAATAGTGGCACAGTGGTTTGTGGGAGTAAAAGCATTTGCGTGAGAGGACGAGTGGAGACTTGGGGACTTCGGGACACGAACTTAGACTACAACTATGACGATTGGCGACCGATGAAGACGGCGAGGACGTCCATTTTTACGGCCGCCATCACCACTACAGCTACCGGCGTGTGTTACTGCTGTGCCTGCCAGCGAATCGAATGAACTAGTCGAGAGAACTCTGATCTTTGCCGTCTATGCGCAACCTTAGTTGTGGCTACGGCAGCAGAAGCAGACGTGAAGGCGGGGATAGTAGCAGATCAGTCCGTTCGTCAAAATCAGACGGAGATAGATAGATTCAGCAATAGCAACAGTAGCAACGACAATGGTCACGAAACAAGAATCGAGCGTCAGCCTCAACAGCGACCAAAAGTAACGAGGAAGAACTAGGGGAAGAGCGAAGCCTCGGACGACAGCACTACCCATGTCAGCACGATCTTAGACAGATTCCGACATAAACAATACCTCGAGAATGGGGTGAATCACAAACAAATTGAAGAATGATTCAAGAACAATTGGATAGAGTTGTGCCGTTGCGCTGTTGGCTAGCACAACTTTTTTCCTCCTACACCCACTCACTCCACCCCCGCCCCCTGCGTCTTCGTTCAGGCAATGAAGATTCGACCAGATATTGCTAGCTAACGCCAGCCAATTCGATCCGAACAAACTTATGTATGATCTCGAAACAGAAGTCGTTGTGGTCGACGTCGACTAAAAATAAATCCGTAAGACAGACTCAGCTAAGGCCACCGGCAAGCCCGTGACGTCGGTGGCAGCCATAGATCGCACAGCTTCGATGGTGAGCACCGCAAAGAAAGCAGCTGGGCAGACAGACACAAAATCAGTCAGCTAGTGCGGGTGGAACAGGGCCGCTTGGGAGACGGGAGAGTTATCGTAGGATAAGAAGAAACAGAGCACTCACGACAAGCGTCGGATTGATGGTCGCCGGCCACGACAGGATGACGAGTACGACACGAATAATTGGGAGGAGAAAGGCTTCTGCTGCTAATATATTATCGGTGCTAGCAATTGGGGGTATGGTTATGTAAAGATGCGGTGACGCTTGTTGTTGCGGTTGTCGTTGTTTCACCGCCGTCGTGGCTACTATCATTTAAGTTTCTGCGTTGCACTAGCCAGGGACGCATTAGATTTTAATACAGCAGCGTCAACATCGGAAACAAAATCGGCAACAAAACCGTGATCAAGTATAGCAGAAGCAACAACGAACAATAAAGTAACTTAAGTTCTGTATTTTCACCAAAGCTAATCAGATTCGGTTTTTTTTTTTCTGTTTGCATTCTGGCTGTAGACATAGACATCTCAGTCTGTGTGCTCTCAAGGTAGCACCGCTATTCGAATAAACTGAAAGAACTAACAGGCTAATACTACAGGTGGTGGTAACATTGAAAATCACGCCACCTTTCGATGTTCAGCTTAACAAGAGAATAAACTGTAACGTAGTCGGACCTTAGACCCATTTGCCATTCGCAGACAGTACCTACCTTTTTTCCTGTTAAGGTGTGCAGCTCTGTTGCATGCTATCCAATAGGTCGATAGAAGCCCGACTATACTGTTGTAGTATATCCTTTCCAGAGGAAAACTCTGACCTTAGTAGGAAATTGTCCTCAAACAAACGATGTCACATGACTGGACATTTCGCCAACAGAATATCTATCATATAAATTTCTAAACGTGCGACACATCGACGATCTTGAAAGCAAATACTGCGACGTAGAACGATAACTTCAGGTGTAACTCTGGCTGTAGTGGGACATATAGCGGGTCGTAGACGCCAAAAAAGTAGGTAATCCAGAGTTCGTGAAGACAGACACACAGTTCGTTCTCACTGAGCACCACAACAGCAGCGACGACGATGACGACGACAACAAGAACAATAACAACAACAATAACAACAACAACAACAACAACAATAACAACAACAACAACAACAACAACAATAATCGTAATAGTGGCAGTAACGGTAATATTAATCTGTACAAAACCCGTCGTCTTCCTCTGGCGATTACGTACTATTCAGAATCGTAGTGACAATGATAAGAGCACGCACTCCGATGCAGTCTACGACTACTCCGCGCACAGCTGCGCGAGCGACAAATCCCGAAGGGTTCACTTGAGCACAATTTGAGCGTCGTGCGGGAGCACTCTGCCAGGCGAGTCCCGCTGGTTGGCTACTCGATGTTTGTCAATTTCCCTTATCCTATTAAGCTGGCATCGTTGTTAGAAATTCCGCATGCTATATAGTATTGTTATGTTCGTCTACTAAGATCAATTTTACAAAGCAAAAAGTGTCTGCTTCGTCGTCAGCGGGCTAAATCCAATTGCTAGGCACGTTTAACTTTCGTTGAACGGTCGTGTCAAATCCCCTACGCTCTTTAATCGTTTGCGTCTATCCCGTCGCCACTAATCACTATTATAATGCATATCCGCGTATGCCGTACGCGTCAACGTAAACGTCCGTACTGCACGGGTTTTTAGCTTACTGTTGAGACTCGGTCACTGAGGGACGGTCAGTTCGGCGGGTCCGCTGAATGACTACAATGTAACACGGTAATCAAACAGAGCGGCGATTGAAACAATACAACACAACGGGTGGAAACAGGTACGGACGGATAGGGTGCGCGGATGGCCAGTCTGCGCCTGAGAAGACACACCGCTCTGTGCAGAGCGAGACGCTGCCCGAAGCGCGTGGCTGTAGGAAAGGGACTGACGTTGTTACTCGCCACTGGCCCTTTCCGGCGCCACTGGCCATCATTTATTGATTATGGGCAAATATTACCGCCGCCGTACGGCGTTGGCGCGCGAATTGCTGTTACCGCTTGACGCATCTATAGCGCAGCAGTAATCTCATATCATGATACACGCCTAGACAGGAATACAGCCAGACAAAGGGGGCCCAATGCACCGTCTGTGTGTCTAGCTCAGCGTGTATTTGTGATGGATCGAGCAGGCCCGAGAGCGCGCTAAAAGAGGCAGCGCGCAGGTACGTCAGATCATGTCACCGACAAAACGGGCGAGATGGAACGAGAACCGCGAGCAATAGCATGCAATGGCCGATGATAACTTGGTGGCAAAATTCAGTAGCTAGTTCAAAATGTATATTAAGACGTTGTAAGCCACAGAAGAATGCATCAGAGCGGTGAAATAGTAAGGACGACGAAATGTCTCTATGGGCATCGGAAAGAACCGCTGACAAAGATGATTAAAGCTTCCCGCCAATTTGGGATGGCAAGCTAATCCATACTGACGTACATCATTACTTATTCGGTAACTAACTCGTTGCGTTGCTTTGATCAAACCCCACACTTTTACATGTTTGCTATTATATCAATTTTTATGTCATTTAAATAGCTGAAGCCTGGATTGGGTCTTGAATATCAGAAGCTGTAGCGCAGACTATCGAATTTTATTGTGGCATGCAGGCCTATAAACGTACTACCACTGTAGGAGGACCCAAATAATCATAACTATACTGGTTTGCACCATGTTTTTGCTGACTGGATCTGACCCAGAATGGCAAACCTATTTGATTGTCTACTGCAAAGGGCCTTTGGTCGGAGTGTGCTAAGGCGGATCTATAGATAGCACGAGTGAATAGATAGAGGCCTAGTATTTGAAGTCAGACCAAGAATTTACTTCCAGCAGGAACACGACGACAATTTTATGGATACCCGCGATGGTCAGTAAGACAACTAGTGCTCCCCGAGAAGTTTGCATGCGTAAAGCTCATTTTTGTACCTTAAAGGGAAAAACGATGTTATCTGGCGAACGTTAAAAAGCTTTGATTTGCTATACGATACAGAACAATCTCGTACGTAAGAAGGTACATACACTGTCAAAAATACCACTAATCATTTCGTTCAGCTGGCGACAAAGAAGTTCGCTCTACGATCAATAAAACGCTATCAATGGCTAGTTTTCATCAACGGAACGGCTCATGTTTTCCGTGACGAGCATTTCGCCACGTGCGGAGTCGTTAATCTGCTGTTATTTCATGTAAACACTACGGTATCGATTTGTCGGCATTTAAGAATTGCGCCGAACCGGCCAAGCTGTTTCCTATCGTGTCGGGAAAGGTGCACTTTATTGTACCCTTAGTGGAGCCATAAACTTCCCGTGCCGATGCAGACCGCTGAACGTGTGTAAACCGGAGTACGTATGGATGAAACGAATCGGTACATTCACGCCCGTTTGTCTACCTTAACTTAGCTCTTCTTTAAAAAATCGGGTTCGTCATTTCACCTGGGTCTTTGGTTAAACGACCGATCTGCTTGTCGAACCATTGGCGGAACTTACCGTCAACACAAAATTAATCAATGCTCGATCATCCAGGCTGGTAGGAGAGTCTCCGGGTCCTCTTGCTAAGCTGAGATTGCAGAGAGCACAGCGGAACAAAATAGTCGAAGTTAGCCCGATCTCTGCGTAGCCTTTCTGGAAACTCTGTGCCGGAACACGTAGAGCTCATAATGACAGCTTCAAACAACAGTACCGACAAGAAGGGAAATTTATTCTCACTGTCCATATAAACGGTATTACATGAGCGCTCCGTTTCGGTGTTCGGATCTAGCAATTCGGTCCTAAGACATTTTCCCATGATCTCAGCAGCCTGTAACGGAACTACTTCCGCAGGAAGGGATAACGTAGTTTTCTTCTGTACAGGACGTCATTTTCGCTTTAAACGATCTACAGTTAAACGAGACGACAAGGTCGGATCAAGGACAAGCACGCGTTTGCCATATCAACGACAGGATGCGGCGTCGCCAAAACGAGCGCGTGTCCCCGTCATACAGTCCAACTGCTCTACGATGTCAGCGTGCGGAACATTTTCGACTGCCATCAAACGTACCTAATAAGCTGCGACGATCTGCGTGTGCCATATTGTTGGGTTTTAATGTAGCCTCCAATTTAGTATAGAAGAATATCCTCCCGAAGCTACAGGCCGATGGTTTTCTCTCGAACATTTTATACAATTCTCATTGTATGTGTGTGACAGCTTCTCGACGAGGTAACTAAAGCACAATTGGAGAACGTGTTATTTCTGAATTTCTCCAGTCTATCAATCTACGAATCTGCACAAAGAGACCCTCTTAACCAGCTGCTGCTTTCTGCTAGACTGAAAAACTTATGGATGCACGGGGCATGGAGAACTTGTTAGAAAGCTTCTGTTTTTTGACGGCCTAATGCCAGATGGAGATAGCTAGTTTTCGGATCTAACGAGTTCTATCCAGAGTGGGATCAATTTCTTCAGAGCTTGGCTTCAATGAAGAACTGTGACGATTAAATTTAGACACTGTGTACGCACAGCTTTTCGTCGCCTTGGAAACCCTTTTGTTTCCACTGGGTTTCCGCTTGTGTACGTGAGCGAGTTTTCTTACCTAAGCTTATTGTCGTCCTTTAGTGGAAATAGTTCTACGTTTCACATTACGAAGAGCTAGAAATCTGTGATGAGAAATCGCCGTTTTGTCGTAGCTTTTTCACCGCGCCGTATGTTTGACGTTAAAGTCGCACTCGCCGACTAACTACGAAACATTATGTGGATAGATCTCATTGTAACGAACCTAGGCTAGCTAGAAGGGTTTAAACCTGCTTTTCAAAGACGTGCGATAAGGTTGGACCGACCGACCAGAATAGGCCGGCACGCGTTTTTGCCGGCAAACGGAACAACTAAAACGATGCTCCGATCTACTGGCTACGAATTCAGAGCTTAAATTTGCGTAAATAGACAGAATTTCTGAGTATGGAAGCTATGCAGGGTCAAGTTATACTTCCTTTAGGAAAAACAAAACTATTCATCACGTGGCGTTTGCCATGGAGCCTGCGTCGCGCCTAGGTTTCATGAATGAGCACATACGCTAGCGACAGCTATGCAAACACAGTAATAGGAAAATTGATTAGTAGGTTGCCATTACAGCCTAGCTGATTTGTATATCAACGTAAACAAGACAATGGCGTCCTCGTGTATACATTCTGTTCGTGTTTCTAGCCACTGTTATAGTCTACCTAACGAGGGTAAATACATATGGTCGATTTGCCAGTCAGATCTGCTCGCGGCCACGAAAATTTATATTGGACTTGAGCGGCGTCTTTCATATCTACGCGATCTACCCGCTAAAGGACTACATGCGCTAGCTATCTATTCAACTATCTTGTTCGACCTACTCAACAAAAACACCGAGCAGCCGTAACATGTCTAAGTTTTCGTGGCTAAATTTGTCGTCACGCATTGCCCTTAAAACTATACTATTCTATCCTACCAAACCTAACAAGCAATTACGAAAACAACATAATTGAAGGGGACTGAATTTTCCATTCGTTATATTCCATTAGGAAAACTTCAGTAATCGCAATGTTGACAAGCACCATTATTCTATAGAACAGTCACAATGGCGATACTAATATTAATCATGTTTAGCTCCTATAATTTCATTAATAGAATAATATTATTTGAAGAAATGTTCTCTTTCAGTAGTGCTGGTAATAACACAGGCAGCAAATTTCATCTAAAATATTTAGAAAGTCAATGGCGTAGCCGCTGGGTGGGTGGGTGGTGGGCGGCTGGCTGGCTGGCTGGCTGGGCGGTTCTGGGTAGTGCAGAGCGAAGCCAAGGTGAGTGACGAACGAACCGTCCGACTCGTATTCACGTTGCTTCGGATCGGTCTTCTGCATAACAGCACCGCGACGGCGGCGGCGGCGGCCGCGGCAGCATCTCCTATGAAATTAATAATCTGTTGTCGCTACTATTGGCTACTACTGGTTGTGCTCCGGTCGCTGCTGTTGAAACGATCGGCCAGGCGTCCAGGCAGTCAGCCGCTCAACAGTCAGACGTTAGTTGAACGGCTGAGCGTCCGCTACGCTGCCTGATCGCCTTCAGATTTCGGATCGAATTTACATTTAGTAGCAGTTGAATACATTCTGGTTAAATTTCTCAGCAACAATACCCCGCCAATGACAAACTATACATATATATATATATATATATATATATATATATGTGTGAAGGTGCGTGTGTGAAGACGCCGTATTTTTTGCTTAGCGATTGCCTCGCTGTCAACGAAGCTTTTACAGACTCGTTGCCGTTGTGACCGCCGCCACTGCCGCCGCTGCTGCTGTTCTTAAAGTGAACATTATCTCTTAATTTTATAATACACAGCAGTATTCCTGCGTCGAGCGTCCTCTGCACCTACGCTTTGCGGCTTTCCGTAAAAGGTGACTACAATAGTAGACGATTTTAGACGTATCTACTATCACGATTTGCGGTGATATTGAACGCGGTGTAGCATCTATCGATCGATCAATGCCGCGTCCAGTAGATATAGCACGGGGCAAATATATATGTTTGTTTTATATTTCGCTGAAAGACGATGTTTTTATCGAGGCGCGACGCTCTTGATGACGGCGGCCGCTTTGCATAGCTTGTGAACTATTATACAAGATACGGGTTATGTCGTCATCATCATCATCATTAGTATTTGTATGACTGCTATTAGATAATAATAATAATAAGGAATATATGGCACCGGTCAGGCCCATTTACCTACAATACGACAGTGCGCAATGCGACTAGCGCTGGAGTGCATTTTCGCGGAGCGATCTATTGATGGTGACGTCATGGTGACTG